TTTCAGCGACCCAAGTCACCATAAAAAAAAAAGGGCCTAAACGGCTGCAGGGATTCCTGCCTTCACACCGTGGATGAAATAAAAAAAAAAAAAAACATACTGTTAATCTAGAAGGTATTGCCTATGCAATGACGTAAAATTGTGAAAAAATAATTAAAATTTAACAAAGTGGCAGACTTTTTAAAAAAAACAATCGAACTTTGCTGAAAATTTGGATGATTTTTGGCCCGCCAAAATTACATTTTTGATACAATCGTAAAACTTTGAGGTCATTGTACAGAGAAACATATACGAAATAAGCAGAAAAAAAATCAAAGCGATTGGATGATTCTTCTTCGAGTTAAAACTGCAGCCAATTGGCTGAAAAATGTAGTTTTGAGAAAAACATATTCAAAGATGAAAAAATGATTGCTTTCTAATCTTTAGAAGGCTCTAACTCTAAAAATATTTGAAATATTTATATGAAATCTCAGTATGTTATTTTTAAAGATATAGACTATCAAAATATGCAAAAAAAAAAAACAATTTTTTCCAAATTTCACACTTAGGTGTGCCCTTTTAACAATATAAAATCAATAACATAGAATAATATTATATAATTTGAAGATAAAATGTGGAATAATAAATATTATAAATGTCTTACCCCTTCAGTTTTCTTTCTCAAGTTAGATCTTTGCAATGTAGCAGCCAGTTCATTTTGTAGCCTGGATACAACCGGTCCGTTAGCTTCCTCGGTTCCATTCTTCTCCGTTCGAGGTTGTTGAGCTAAGAAATCGAGCTTGGCAGGTTGTTTAGCTTCACCTTCGTAAGCACCTATCCTAATGGCGACCTTTCCAACAGGTGGTTTAGGTATACCACCAGTATTACCATTTGGTGAGATTGCATTACTAATATTAGTAGTATTATTATTATTAGTAGTAGTTGTAGTAGTAGTTGTAGTTGAATTTTTGTTGGTTTCATTAGTAGATTGATTAACCAATTGATGATGATCCTTTTCTTTGATTATTTGACTCGTCGTTGTTGTTTTATTTCCCATAGGAACGTGACGAGGACTACCACCATTGGATGTTGCTGCTGGCGATGAAGAATTCGATAATGGGAAATATGTTGATGGTGGTTTAGGTATAACTGGATTTGGTGATTCTTTTAATTTAAACGATTCTATGCTTTGCATTTCAACTGAATCCTCGTTATTAGTTGCACCAGTTTTTGTTGGAAGAGGAAGGGGTGGTGCTGGAGGTGCTGGTGGTGGTGCTGCTGATATTGGTGGTGCTGGTGCTGGTGGAATAATCGACGATGTTGTGTTGTTATTATTATTATTATAACTGGTATTGTTAATCGTTCCATTATTCGTTGCATTTGGTATTGTTTTGTTTTCGTTAATTGTTGAATTCGTCAAATTGGAATTGTTGGAAGAACCATTCGTGAGTAATATCCTTTTATCCTGTTCCTGTATATCAATTTTTAACAAAATAATATTTAGAAAATTTTACAATTATTTGATATATATATATATATATAAATAATATAATATATTTATATATATATAATTCGAGAAAAATTTATTTAAATAATTAATTATATATATAATAAAATCATTTTAATTTTGTTCGTGGTGTGTACTAACAGTGTAAGGTGTTATAGTAACCAACACGTTCTTTTTCGTCGACGTCCTTGTTGATTTATTCATCTTCGTGAATTTTAATATTTTTATTCATCCGCATCCGTAAAAATGTTCTCCACGAATAATCATAATCCTCCTCCTCCTCCTCCAACAACAACAACAACAATAACAATAATGTCACAATTCACAACACTATTTTCTATATTTCAAATTCCTTCTAACAAACAATAGAACAGAGAGAGAGAGAGAGAGACAGAGATACCAAAGTTCGATCACGTTGTCATTAGATCCACAGTGCGTCATTACCGGTCTTGGAACTTGTTAATCGTTAAAAAAAGAAAAGAAAAAAAATCAAAGAAAAACCAATATTCATGCCGGAACTTCCTGGATGAGGAGATACATTCGAAGAATCGGAAGAGAGGAACGAACGATTATTATTATTATTATTATTATTATTATTATTATTTCACAATGATTATCACTCGATAAATTTTGTTGTTCTCTCGTTCACGATTAAAAATCTATACACTCATTTATTAATTTTAATTAATAGAGTATAAAATAATACGAATAAAAAGGGGTATACCTTGAAACCAACAATTTCTTACTGGGTTATTGTTGGGTTAGGCTAAGCTAGTTCAGAGTCTTCGCGTAAACTGAACAAAAAAAGAAAAACAACAACAACCAACCAACCAACCAACCAACACAAACGCAACCCGTTTTCTTACGTCGACGTTGTTCGTTCGTAAAATCTTATGTAAGAGAGAACACCACCTTATTATTTTGCGCGTCTCTGCCGCAATTCGCAAGAAACCAACGATGCAAGAAGATAGAATGAAAAAGAAAGACAGAGATAAATAGAGAGAGGAAGAAAGAAAAAAAATGAAAAAAAAAAAAAAAAAAAAAAAAATAATAGAGAAAGAGATAAGAGAATAATTTCGCAACAGACAGAAAAAAGAATAAATAAATAAAAATACAGTCAAAAATATATATATTCAACGTTAAACGTCCGTTCACACGCGTTGATATCGTACAACTGAATTTAAAATACGAATTGTTATTACAAATCAATCGATCGGAGTCTCTCTAACGCACTTATGCACACGCATACACACACACACACACACGTATATATCAAGCTTCCGATAGCACTCGACTAATCGACGATAAGAAAAAAGTAACAACGATAATACGTTTTATAAGAGTATCGTCCACGGACTGACTTCTTTTTTACCTTTGAGATTGTGTTTATGATGCTTGACTACTGTTACTGTTATTTTATAGTAGTTTTAATTTTTTTTTTGTTTAAAATCACCGTGTTGAGGTTTGCAACGATAAAGAATAAAAAGAAAGGTGCCAATTATTATTGGTCTGCACTAACTCCCTCCCCCCAACCTCCTACTTCTTCCCCCCTGCTTCCTCACCACCCCACCCATTAAGAATTTCACGGTATTACTCTCTTTCCATTTCTATTTAAATTATTTCATTTATTTTTCTTCTTTAACGATAGTAGAATAATTGGTTTCTTTTTTTTTCTTTTTTCGTTGTTGTTTTTTCCTTAACCCTCCCCCTTTTTTTTTTATACCGATCCTTTCTTTCTACGGTTGACTATGAAATCGATGAACTCAGGAGAAAGTTTTATAGTCGAGGAGGATGTTCCCGAGAGCGTTGGCGCGTTCGATAGAATAAAATGAAAACAAAGTAGAATAAAAAAGGAAAGAAAAAAAAAATAGAAAGAGAGAGAAAGGATTTGATTAATTATAACGATCTTGTTTTAATCTAATTCTGTGAGATTAATTGTAGAGATATATATATAAGTTGAGATTGGAATTATCATCGTATTTTTAACTCGTACACATTACATACGTTTACCTATGCATATATATATATATATATATATATATATTATACACACACACACACATATTCGTTCACTTGATCATTCATTCACGCATGTAAGACACGCGTGATATTCATACACGTCAGATACATTTTCAAGTAGTTATTATTTACGTTTATATATATATATATTGACGAGAAATGAATTAATCACTATAAAAGATAATAGATAAAATATTATTACACACGGTTAATGTTTTATCTTCGAATATTATCTTTTCAAAATCTGATTATTGTTCAATGTATATCTTCTTCTCGATTCAATTGGAACATGAAATAAATCATAAAAAAAGGAGAAAAAAAAACGAAAGAATAAAAAAATAGAGAATAGAGAATAGAGAATAGAAATAGAATAGAAGAATGAAGAGAAACGCGTGGAAAAACGATGCAATACTCGTGACTTTAAGGTGCAAACTATTCTACCTGAGTCTATCTCGTGAACGTCGTTGGTTTCAAAGGTACCCAACAACGCAACTAAAATAATCGTATCGCGAGGTAACATTCCAGGTGTATGTATGTATATATATATATATATGTCCTCCTCTTCTTTTTATATGTGTATAAGTATCTTCGTTCATACGTGTATATTTATTCACATAGTATATGATATGTATATATATATATATATGTATATATATATTTTTCTTCGTGTAAAAGTTTGTCGTGAATTTCGTTCCACACGACAGTATACATTTACAACAGAAAAAGAAAAAAAAAAGAAAAGAGATACTAAGAGAGTGAGAGTGAGAGAGAGAGAGAGAAAGAAGACACGAGGAGTAGTATATTACGGTGACTTTATAATTTTGTGCTCTTATCTGTTTACTCTGGCAGTATTCCTTCCACTAACGTAGACTGTGTAATTAAGAGTGCGCGCGCGCGCGCACGTGCACGTGCACTTACTCAACTCAACTCAACTCAACTCGGAGAATCAACTTGACTCGACTAGAACGTGAAATCTTTGAAATTCTTTCCACTTTGTCATTAAGTAAAATCTATCTCTCTCACTCTCTCTCTTTTTTTTTTTTTTTTTTT